GGGAAAAATTACTCCCACTGAATTTTTCAATCTCAAATTTTGCAGACAACTTTTTTCTCACTGAACTGGTTTACACAATTTCACCGTGAATAACACAGTATACGTGAGCAGTATTGTATATTTTTACCGTACACTAGAATAGATCTAGTATAGGTTAACAATCACTGCAAAATTATACAACCACACGTGTGAATAGTAATCGTACGTCGCAACAGAAATAGAGATCGACACCAACCAGGCTCTGATACCAGTACTGTTGGGTATTAGAGTACCAAGATAAATATGATAAAATTAAGAGATCAAGGAGTAGGAAAATTGACACAAAATATCTACGTGGAAAACCCTCAAATAATAAGGGAAAAACCACAGGCACATGTAGAAAAGATTTTCACTAAGTGGAAGAAATTACAACACTTCTCTCTATATATAAGGAGAGAACAAATTACACTCTCTCTTGTAATAGGAGAATACTTACTAAAATAACCTTATAGGAGGAAATACAATATATTATATCTCTCTAAATTTTTCTTTTATGTTATGTTACAATATTTTGTGTTATTGTGTTATTGTTACAATTTTTCTTTTATATTACCTCTATTTATAGGTGCTCATCTTCACAAAACCATTGGAGTTGTTACAAAACCATAGGTGCAAAACCATGGGTGTTTCTTTCTTGGTATATAAATTGTGACTTTATTCAACCACGATCCTTGACCATAATCTTTTACCATGATCACAATATTTGACTATGACCATAATCTTTTACAATTTTAGCTTTCTTAGTTTCTACTTGGGCGCCGACAAAACCTAAGCCTTTTGTTAGGTTTAAAAGAAACATATTCACTTGCGTGTATCAAATCACTATTATATTAAGGCTTCCTATATATCACAAATAAAGTTAGTCTAGTTCGGCTTAGCCACTTTATTGACGAATAGGAAACCTAATCTAATAGAGGTGAAACTAATTCTGAAGTTGAATGTCTCTAATATATTTAGGGGAGAACTTGAATACAGTTTTGTTGCTTGTCTTTTAAACTTTCGTTTTGTTAATAGTGTTCATTGAGTCTCCTTCAATTTCACATCTTTGGATTATGATTTGAATCAAATCATTTTAGCATGCATAATTCAGTTGTTTGTGTTTGAGTATGATCATTGTATTTTAAGTCAATTTGTTGAGTTAATGGAACAATAACCATATTTGATGTTGGTTAAATTTATGAGGGAAGTGGAATCTCAAACTATTTTTAAAAACTTGAAAAATTGACATTTCTTATGTGTGACTCGAATCAAATCAAATACAGGAGAATAGGAAAATTCGGGCGTCTGTTACTCGAATCACACTTTACACTTGACTTGAATCATTCAACATTGTGACTCAAATTATAAGTTGCACCTGATTTGAATCACACGAGTCTTGTTAAACACTGTCCAATTTGATTCGAATCATACTTTACACGTGACTCGAATCACAAAGTTTTTCACTTTTCCTGTTTGGCTCTTCCCAAATTGAATCAAGTCAATGTTTATATATGACACAAATCATTACCCTTCATGACTCAAATCACAGCTATAACCTGACTCGAATCATAGAAAATTAGTCACTTTTCTTTATGTTGATCTTGTTCCACTATACTTACTCATTTGACTCAAATAAAAAAAATGTTCTTGACTCGAATCTAACAAACATTTTTTTACCTATTTTTGTGTTTAATCTCTAGCAAACATAAAATATTTTGTCATCTTATTTCATAACAACCAAGAACATAACAACAACGTTAACAACTTCTAACTTTTGAAAACTCAAAAACTCTTGCATTCAAAATTTCTTCATCTTCAACCTCTAATTTGAATTCATATCTTGATTATGAATATTTTTAATTTGTGAGGAAGATATGTCTGAAAACTAACATTTTTTGAAGATTTGGTGAAAATTTTCAAGAGGTTTGCAAGATTAGAATTTTTGTGACTTGTGGTGACATATTCCACTGAAAATAAGGAGGTTCTTTTATCCCGGTTGACCTTGGTAGAGCTGTGTGGAAGCATAGCGACAAGATAGGAGTTCTTGTAAATCTTCGAACTGTTCGTCGCTCAAGAAATCAGTGGGATCAGGGTTAATTTGACACACAAATACTTAGAGCAAATTGGTAAAGTTGAAAGATTCAAGAATCGAGAATCGAGTAAAGATTTCGCAGAGTTTAGTGTAAAGATTATGTAAAAGTCAAGATCTAGATATAAGATTTATTTTATCAGTATTATTGTGTATTAATGATTGTATGAACTCGTGTAGTATTTGTCAAAATATAGTAGAAGAACAACTTTCATTGGGAAATCATTGGAGAATGGAGTGGGCTCCTGCAATGACGATAAAGTCGATCCACTATACATCTCTCTCTCTCTCTCTCTCTCTCTCTCTCTCTCTCTCTCTCTCTCTCTCTCTCTCTCTCTCTCTCTCTCTCTCCTCTCTCTCTCTCTCCTCTCTCTCTCTCTCTCTCTCTCTCTCTCTCTCTCTCTCCTCTCTCTCTCTCTCTCTCTCTCTCTCTCATCCTCTCTCTCACTCTCTCTCTCTCTCTCTCTCTCATCTCTCCTCTCTGATTTTCATATGATATTGCATGTTTAGGTAATTATTTTTTGCCGTGATTTAGTACGTACGTGTAGGTTTTCTCAGAATCAGAATCTATTTTTGTATTAGTGCTGATTAAATTCTGCAAACTATGGGTGTTAGAATATTATAGAGATTGAACTTTGTAAAAGACATGTCTCGTGTAATTTACGAATTGTCAACTCAATTTAACTTGCAACTTTTGGTGTTATTGTCTTTGAACAATCTAAGGATACTTGTGAAATTTACTATAATTACATTTGTGATTCTTTTCAAATAATCATAACATCTCTATTTTGCAAATCGCTTCCCACTATGCAAATTCTAATTTTTCATTTTAAAAATCAATCAAATATTTTCAAAAGAGTCTATTCACCCTCTCTAGACCGTTTCTCTACTCCTACCCAACATATTCATTAATCACTTTACAATGTAAGCGTGAATTCTCTAATATAAACTGTGCACCCTAGAGGTAGTTACAACTAACTCAAAAGTTAGGTATTCATCTAACTACCTAACCTAAAAAAGATATGTAAATTTCTTAAGATAATCAGCATGCTTGAACAACATGCCTCTTCTAGTAGAAGGTTCTCATGATGGTGAGTAAATTCTCCCACCGATTGAAATCCCCGCCAAATATGGTGGATTTGTTTGATGTTCCCATCAGTGCCTCCTTTTTTGCAGGTGCTGAGGGTATTCTTGTTTCTTTATGCATGAGTTGTTTATCGGGAGGTCATATTCAGTGGTTTCTTATCTTAATGATGCAGATCTTTGACTTAGAAAACCATTGATGTTGGTTGGTGAGTAAACTTTTGGTTAGCATGTAGTCGGTTTTCGTCATAAATTTGGCAGTATAGTGGAAACTTTGGAGAATGTTTCCCACAAACAAAGCAAATGATCAAGGAAAATAATTTCTTTAAGGTGTTTTTAATGTTGGTGATAATGCTGACAAACTCTAATATAGGAGACTTTCGTGTATATGCTCAATGGCGGGCTGTATTTGTATACATGAGTCTATGTATCAAATTCTTCCTCTTCTAGATAATGTAGACTTTTGGTTCCTTAACTAACATATGAATTATGCAAGGGCCATTTGAGAAAAATGTAGTTCCAATGATGTAACTTGGTCATTTCTTAGAAGTTTATTTGGAATGGTTATAAATGTATATATCAAATATATGCATCGTCTCTACTCCACCTATTGCATCATTGTCGCTTTCACCTAATGTTCCATCTTCTTCATCATTTGGTCCTTATGACGATTTGAGGTGAATATAAGAGAGAAACTAATATTGGAGTGCCTTAATCATGATAATTCATATGGCAAACATCATGCTATATTGGTTCGTATGGTAAGATTATTCATCCTAACCTAATAATACCTCATTGCGTAAAAACCAAAACTCCACATCAACCTTTAATTATGTCCAATACATTTGTGAATAAATTTAGAAAACCGTTTCAAAAATGTGTGTTTTGCATATCCTGAGATGAATTCTTTGCAGGTTTATGAAATGGTTTATTTTCAAATACTTGAGATGGTTAACTTGCATTTTATTGAGAAGTATCAACACACTATTAATAAAAAATCATAAGGCACGTCATATTATGGTTGTATAAGGAATACAAGTTCACGTTTCAACATCCTTTGGTCAACCATATCTAATGAGTTAAATATTGTCACCAATGTCTCTCACTCTTCTTACAATGTTCATGCTCCTCGACCATTAATTTCCTTCAAAAATTTGAATGATATCCATTGGAACGAGTGTATTTCATATTTGAAGATATATCAACTCGCAAGCACAAAACATTAAGGAGTTAGGGATTTTGGGTGACAATAGTGACAAAGCCTATAGGAAAACCATAAAAAAATTGGAAGAAAGGGATAAAGGAGCCAAGAAGATTCGGGAGGTCAAAATCAGAAAGACTCGATGAATATAATGTCATTCAATATTAGAGGGGGCATGAGTCTTTTGAAAAGAAAAATACTCAATTGGATTATCCAGAAAGGGACAGCGGATCTAGTGTGCATACATGAAACAAAGATGCATAATATGAATATGGACATTGCGGCTAGTTTTTTGGAAAGCAGGGACATCACAATGTGGAAAAATGGAGCGTTATAACCACTTTATAGCTTCAAAAGGGAAGGGTGTTTGGGACTATGTGTGGAGTTTAGAGTTCAGGTATATGCTTTCATCAATATATATTCCTCTAGTCTAAAAGAGAAAAAAATATTGTTGTGGGCTGAATTAGAAAATCTCAAAAAATTTGGGGGATAAAGTTATGATGTTAAGGTGAGGACTTTAACTCCATTAGAGAAAAATAAGAAAGAAAGGGTAGGTTTGGTGGGTCGTTTGAGGGTGAGATCAGAGAGTTCAATGATTTTGTTGATAAAATGGAGCTAGTAGATGTCCCAACAATAGGAAGCAAATTTACATGGGCCAATAAGTCTGGTAATGTCAGAAGAAAAATAGATAGATTCTTCTTATTTGAAAATAAGGTGAATAACTGAAAGGTCATTGGACAGGTCGTAGGAAACAAAGACATTTCAGATCATGCACCTTTATAGGTGAAGTCAAATGATGTAGATTGGGAGCCAAAGCCCTTTAGAGTGAATAATGGTTGGTATCAACATAAGGAGTTCCAGAAGTTCGTGGAAGAAGTTCAAAGTTGATGGAACACAAGCCTATGTTGTGAAGGAAATATTTAAGATGTTGAGAGTTTTCTTGAGGAAGTGGAATAGGGAAATTTTTGGATGGTTGGACCTAAAGATTGAGGAGGCATCAAAAGAGTACAACAAGATAGATGATTCAAACAGTAACTCTGAAGTAAGGATTAATGAAATAGCTGTTGAAAACAGGTATGAGGCCTTAGAGGAATTCTGGAGATACACCTTAAGGAAACTTTTATTAAGGCAGCAATCAAGGCAAATATGGTTGAGGGAAGGTGATCAGAATTTTAGGTACTTTCACAATGCTATCAAATATAAAAGGAAAATGAATAACTTAAATACAATCATAAATAAAAAGTTAATTTTATGTGAGGATGCTAAATCAATCAAGGAGGAGGTGGCTACAATGTTGTTCAAGGAACAATAGAGAAACATACCTGAAATGAGGAGGTTGGAGTTTAAGAAAATTTCAGAGGATGTAAGGTCTATGATGGAAGTGGAATTTACAAGAGAAGATGTTAGGAAGGCTGTAAGGGAATCTAATGGTGAGAAGTGCCCAGGACCAGATGGATTGAATTTCAAATTTAGTTAAGAATGCTGAGATTTTTTGGAAGAGGAATTGATGAAGTTTGTGAGAGAATTCTATGACTACTCAACAATACCTAAAGCCATTACTGCCTAATTTATAACTCTTATAACAAAAAACAACAATCCACGAGATTTGAAGGAGTACAAACCAATTTTTTTGATTGGATGCTTATACAAAATTTTGGCTAAGATTCTTGCGGCTAGATTGAAGGATACTTTTGAGGGAATTATTTCACCATGCCAAACAAATTTTGTTCTAGGAAGACAGATCTTGGACGGTGTTGTTGTTTTCAATGAGATTATTGATTTGACTAGAAGAGATAAAAGAAGAGTGTTTAATACTGAAATTTGACTTTGAACAAGGATATGATTGTGTCAACTGGAGTTTTCTAAGGAAGATGTTACAGATGTTAGGTTTTGGTTTGAAATGGGAAAGATGGATGGAAGTGTGTCTTTTCAATAGTAGCATGTTAGTAACTGATAATGGAAACCCAACAAAAGACTTCAAGGTAGAAAGGGGTCTTAGACAAGGTAACCCGATATCATCATTCCAATTCACATTGGTAACAGAGGGCATCACAAGATTGATCAATAAAGTTGTAGAAAATGGTGACTTCATGGCATTCAAAGTGAATGATGCATTATAATATAGGTCATTGCAGTTTGCAGATGAGACAATTATTTTAGGGGCAGGAGCATGGTAGAACCTATGGAGTCTTAAGTCAATTCACATAGGATTTGAGATGATCTCAGGGTTGAAAGTGAACTTTTATAAGAGAAGTATGTAGGGTATTAACCTTGAGAAGTCATTTATGGAAGCAACTTCACAGTTTCTATCTTGCTGCATATATGAACTTCCATTTAAGTTCCTAGGGATATTGGTGGGAGTCAACCCTAGGAGATGCTGCACTTGGAAGTTGGTGGGAGCCGCTAATTAAGGTCACGGATACTCAAACCGCGAACGGGTATGAGTTCAAGGAGGCCTTGAACACTATGCTGAAGAAACCATATGCTGACGACATTGTCGCTAGCGACCTTTTTCCAAAATCAATCACAACTGGTAGGTTGAAGCCGGTTGACAGAATTTTATAGTGGATTGTCTCGCACATTCTTCGACCCAAGAAAGGTGGTTGTTCTCGGGTTGACCGAGCTGAGGTTCACTTGGTTTACATTCTAAAAAAGAAGATCAAGATTAACTGGCCTCATTACATTGCGAGTAGAATCTACTCTTTGAAAGACTGTAGTAGAGGAACCGCACTGTCAAATTGTTCCTTCATCTAATATGTCCTCAATAATGCTAATGTGGCTGTACCTAATATCCCTTACACAACCTTGACGACCGACCAAGAGTTTTGTCAAAAGACTCTAACTATGATGGGTTATATTTGGGATCCTCGCGATTCTCGCCACATATTTATTGTTAAGGCAACAAGTTCTCGTCTGCAGGAAACTGACGAGAGTGATGAAGAAGAAGAAGAAGAAGAAGAAGAAGAAGAAGAAGAAGAAGAAGAAGAGGGTGAAACTTACATGGAAACTAATGAACGAGATAACAGTGGTTGGCTAGGTCAATCACCCCATTTGGAACATGATGACAACCAAGGATGGGGTGCCTGGAAACACACGGGTTGGACTACATTAGGTGAAAACTACATGCCTCAAGCAACGAATTAGGAATATCAAGAGACCTCGGATTGGATCTATGTGCCTCAATCATCTCCCCGTCCCCAATAGAACAACGACGAACTCCTCGAGTTTATGAGGAGTATGCAGCTCGAACAACAAAACTTTATCACTGCCTAGGATGAGCGATTCACAAATTTTCAGAATCAACTTCAAGCTCACACGAATAACTTCAACTCATTTGCAACAGCAGTGATGGGTCGGTTTGATGGCATGGTTAAATCTGCTGCAGGTCAACACCATGCTCTCACTACCAGTTTCAACACTCTTAATCGAGTTGTCCTAGAGTATACGGAAAAAATAGATGAGCAACAACTTCCTCCACCTCATGACTATCCATTTCGCGGAAGGGGTCATCACTTGAGGAATCCTTGTATATCATTGTGCATGTCATTTCATCTATTGTTTATCGCATTCTAGTGTTAATCTCTTCTTATGTTTGTTTGTTTTATTAAGACATGAATCAATTTTAATTTGTAATAGCACATATTTCTTTTGATCATTTGTGTGGTTATCTATTTATCAGTTTATATCCCTTCATTAATTTCGTTATATGTGGATGTTTGTTAATGACTATCTTGTTGCAAATTTGGTGAATTTTGCTTATCTCATTATAATATGTCTTTCATTTACCTCTATCTTCTTTCTTTTTGATGTTATCAAAAGGGGAGAAGAAAATCAAGCTGAAAAAAATCACTTTTACAAGACTGATCAAACGTGCATATCGTTTCTAGATAAATGCATGGAGTAAGGGGGAGGATGATACAACACATTGTGCTCAACTATGTTTCTACTGTTTTGCCATCATCAAAAAGGGAGAGTATGTGAAGGCAAAGTGCCTCATACTTGGTTATACTTGTTTTAATGATGTCAAAACATATATAGTTTGAAAAATGTACTTTGGACGTTATCATCGAGTCGCATATGCATACCTTATCTTTCTTGTGTCAAACATTTGTCAAAATATGTCTAGGTACATATAGAAAGAGCACTATGTGTGTTCTATATGAGTTTGATCATGTTGGTCAAGTTAGAGATGCATTAGGTTCTCTTAGAAGTAGCTAAATATATGAAAATATGCATTTTTGCAAGTTCTGAGTCTTTAAGTCGACTCATAGAATGCTTAGGTCAACTCATATAGAAGTCAATTTTCATGTCTTGCTCTCAGGAGAGCTCGCGTCGACCCTCCAGTCGACTCATACCGTATGCATTTGTGCTTGTCAAAATTAGGATGATTTGCCTCGAAGCGTGGTTCCATTCTAGTCGACGCAAAGTGTTATTTCTTGCATAACCCTGAATTCAGGAGAGCTCAGGTCTACCCTCCCCTTGTTTTAGGTCGACCGCTCGCGCGTTTCTCGCATAATTTCTGTTATGCTTAACATTCTACGTGACTGTTATGTTGGTTATTTGGTTTTAACTTTGCATATATATTGAGTTAGTTCATTCTTCACAATAATAACAAGAAAAGTGAAAATATACACTAATTTGGTTCTCATTATCTTCATCCTCTTTCTTTCATTTTCTCAACAACTACACATAATCATTTTTGTTGTGTATTCTGCATCATCGAGGCGATAATGTCCAAACTTAAGATTGGTGTATCGAGTTTGGGTTGAGAAATCAGTGAGTTTTTCTTGAATAAAACCTTGAGGGTTTTGTCCTCCAAGAATCTTGGATTTTGGGGGTTTTGCACAAATCGTTTCTTCACAGGTTCAGCTAAGCGAAGGTAATTGAAGAACGGGAGGTTCTATCAATTTAGTAGTGTTAACCGGAGGATTGTGGTAGGAAGGTTTGGGTTTGAATCATTGGTGTTTGAAACCAGTCGGGTAAGATTTGAAGACCAGAGGGTTGTTCAAAGGTGGTGCTATAATCGGAGGTTTACTCATCACGTTCGAAGGACTTGATTCATCTTGAATCAAAGGAAGAGAAGGCATAGGCTCGACATCAACATTTGGGTTTGATTGTTTGAATTCTATTGCTTCTCTTATAAAAACAATTTGCAACTGGTTAAATATACAGGCCTCAATTCTATTTATAGAATTGAGGGCAGACGTACCCCGAGCGAGGACGACGGGGGAACTGCCTCAACAAATTGGTGTTCTGTCTTTTTACTATTTTCATTGCTGAATTTTGAGTTTGTATGCAAACATATTAGTTGATAAAAATTATGGTGTGTGTTAGTGCTGAAATATTTTCAAAAACCTCATTACAATCGTTTGATTGTAATTGAAGAACATAACACATAATTCATCTATTGAAATTTTCTTGAGGTGCTTCGCACACCAGGTGTTCGACTAATTGGATGAACACAACTACTTGAGTTGTTTTTCAATAGGTTTATATTTCAAACACATTAGAAACTGTCCAACTTTAAGTGAACAAAATCTGATTGATTTGTGTTCAAGCTATTGATTTTAATTCTCGTCTTCATCGATACTCCATATAGGCTTTGTGTATGTCTGATCTTTTTGGTAACAATTCGTTTAGACGAGTATAGTTCCTCGGCCACTTCCGCTTAAAACTTTTTAAAATCGAAATCTTAATAAGCGCCAACTCTGTTTTTAATAAGTGATCTATTCAACCTCCCTTCTAGATCATTGTCGTCGTCTAACAAGTGTCAAGAATAATCCTCTTGAAACTTGTACCACAAGAAAAGAAAATAATCCTCCCTTTTTTTGTAACCTGATCTCCAACAAACCTGGATGATAAGTAACCAAACCTAATATCAAACAATC